GAGTTCAGTCACTTACCAAAGGTCACATGAGGAGTGTCAGAGATGGGATTTGAACTGCATCCCTCTGATTTTAGAGCCAGTTGAATTGGGAACATCTGTAGTTCAGTGTGGACCATAGTGGCCTATGGACCCTTTTTCAGAATAAAGTTGTTAAATGAATAAAATAAAGTATGTAAGATTACAAAGGAAACTAATTACATTGAAATAAAAATTCAAGGTGTCCTAAAAATCCTAGTGCAATTTTAAGCTTATTAGCTTAAATATGGGATTACCCAAATTTTTATTTATTAAAGTTTAAACTTGCATTAAAACTTTTGGGACACTTTGTATTAAAAAAGGTTCAGAGATTCCAGGTTGAGAAGATCTGTTTCAGGGAGATAACTTTGGAGCTAATGTGTTGAATTGAGTATGTATTTTTAAAAAGTACCCAAACCAAATTGAACTTTAAGAGATTTATAGTTTCATATACAGTCTCCTCTTTCTGTTCTTTTTATATAGAATTAGGTGCTTTTTGTTTGTTTATTTTTTTTAATTTGGAGCAACAATAACAAAATCCTCCCTCCCCCAATTCTGTATCTTGGGTTGTACAAAGAAAGACTGTAATGGAATGAAATCTTACCATGGTTGTTTGGAGAATGTTTTGCTGGATAGCAGTGGAACCAGGCAGCTTAAGGCACTAGTTTAAGGACTCCTGCCTCTTTAGAGGTGAATCTTCAGATGCTTCTGTGGTCTAATCTTTCTAAGAGCTTGCTAGATGCACATTCATGCTATCCCAACACATTTTTATGTGGGAAAGGTCTCTTGTTCAATACTGAGGGAGTATAATGAAGGAAAATGGCATAGTCTCTGTCCTCAGAGTTTGCATTTTAGTAGGAGGGATAGAACACACCTGCAATTGACTATTACAATATGACAGAATATGGTAGGAGCAAAGGAGAACTTGACTGAATGCCACGTGCGAGTTGAGGAAAGGGTTACAAATTTTACCTGGAGGTGGGTGGTGGCATTAGTTTTGGTATCAGGGAAGACTTCTTGAAGGAGGAGGCATCTGAGTTGGGCTTTGAAGACAAGGGAAGATTTCAAAAGATGGAGATGGTGATAGTGGGGGAGCTCAATTTAATTGTAAGTTCTGACCATTCTGTTTTATAGACATTTTGGTTTCCAAAGTGGGGTAGAAAAAGAACATTTGTGTACGGTACCCTGACAAAATCAATTTAAGAAGAAACACAGTCAGTCTAATAAAAGAGGGAGATGGTGACTGTTTAGAGAGTGCTAGAGAGAGAAGAAGCTTTTGGCAAAAGCTAAAGGTGGGGATGGCTACAATGCATTACAGTCCACCAGCTCATTTACAAACAGCTGTTTTTAGGGCTTTGAAGGTTATAACTGAGAAATTATAAATCAAATAACTAGGGACTTTGAGACAATTATGAATAAGGACCATGGGGTGGGGTCACACCTGACAGAAAAGTGGATATTTTGATTTTCTCTTCACAAGGTAAAGATGAGTCACTAAATGCTAGTAGTTCCTGCTCTGGGGCATTAGAAATGACAAGATAAATACAAGAGTCAGAAGATGGTAACAAGAAAGGATCTGAGCATAGCTGACAGGCATGCATGTGAGGAACTGTTTGATTGGAGGCAACTTCTGTTGGAAACTGATTGGAGGAATGCAGAATCTTCCTTCTTTGTGAGGAGCTGACTGGGCTTATAGTCATTTAGCATTGTCTACATCTGAGAGAGATGAAATCTCTCAGGACTTTGCCTGTGTTTCCCTTTACTGTGATCTGTGGCTTGAGAGGGAGAAATAGAGGGTAAAGAGTGTTAGCATCGACTTTGTCATGAGCCATACTGGTTGAAGAAGAGGTATAGCTTTGTTGATAGATGATTGAAGAAAACAATCCTCTGCTATTGGAAGAAGAGGCTGAGGAAAGAATATATAGCTCTGTCACTATCCTCAGTTTGAGAGAAGACAAACCCCACAGGAGCTTGCCTATGATGCCTTTTATTTACTTTCGTGGATTGCAAAGGGGAAACCTCTTGTATCCCATAGAGAGTAGACTTGATTAACTTGGATGATTCCAAACTTAAGAGAATTGCAATTTTCGTTGAAAGATTATAATGTTGATAAATTTTTTTTCTAAAAGAGCATAATGCTTTCTCAATGCTTTGACATTTCATGATTCTATGTGAAAAGATCTTGACATTGCTACAGTACCCCTAGGATAGCAGAGGAGGCTTTGTTTGTTTTCTGATTAGCGGGTGATGTGAGGTATAGACTATTTCACAAAAAGATCATAGACATGAAGATCTTCAATTCAGAGCTGTGAGTTGCCCCAAGCACATGACTCACCTTGTTCACATGCCTCACTGTTAGGTTTCTGAATGTGCTCACTCTCCACCATGGACTTGGTATGCATTGGTAGGAGAGCATCACCCAGGCTCATGGATAGACTGTTCTATTTTAATTAGTCTTTGACTGAGCAAAAGTTTGCACCATCAACTCTCTCACACATGAAACATTTGCTAAACAATAAGGCAAAAGCAAGATAAATGTTTGTAAATGGTCTAAAAAAGATGTTATTCTTAGCACCTTCTACCCTTTCCCCATTACTGTCACAATGAAAATAGAAAGGGGGCTATTTAGGATAGAGGACTGTTTTGCAATTTTTCTTGTTTCATTGGTTGGCACGATTCCAAATCTTAAATAATTCATACCTTATTTGTGAGCCTCTTTGAATAAAGCTGGACTTTTCCTCAATGAGGAGAAGTCTGTCAGACTGCAAGGGGAAGTTATCCTGTTTGGCAGGGATTGTACTCCTGGCCTAGCTTTCCAGAACTCAGGATCACCATCATAACAGAATAAAGCACCAGAGTAGGTTTTTTGTGTGGTTTAAGGCATTTTAAAAACCATATAAAATGCAGACCATAAGTGATAATGATAAAAAATTTGAACTAAAACCTCCCTCTTATTGAAACTTTGACCTTCAGTGAAATGATCTAGTAGTGTTATGCTTTCCATCCTTTTGCTATAACCATAATACATTGGAAACATCTCTATTAAGTTTTTGTTTTACTTTGAAGACTCATAAATATGTTTTTTCCTTTACTATATCTTGTATAATATAGTGAAGATATGTACATGATATGAGAAAGAACCTTTTTTTTTATAGGGAGAGAGACTGAAGAGAATATAGCTTGGTTCAGTCCTATTCAATTCAATCCAAACAAGCATTCATTAAGTACCTATGGTGTACCAGGCAATATACTGGTCACTTGAGATGCAAAGACAAAAACAAAGTAATCCCTGATATTAAAGAACTTACATTCTTATGGGAAAGGGGTGGGGGAATCAATTAATCACTAGGCATTTATTAAAGGTCTACTATGTGTCAAGCACTATGCTAGTCTGGACACTGTATATACACAGCTAAATAAATCTAAGGTAATCTGTGGGTGAGGAAAGATCATCTGAGGAAAGCAGAGGTGTTAGATGGCTGGAGAGCTGAGTGTTGAAGGGTCATAAGGATTCTGAAAGGTGCTGTTAAAGAGGGTGAGTGCTCCAAGTATGGGAGATGGCAGAATGGAATGAAAATTTCTCTTTCCTTTTTTTAATGATTGTACATAAAGCAGTGCAATATGAGAATAGGGGCACAAATGATATATGTAAAGATACAGTGGGAATTGTTTACAAATGACATACCTTGGAATTTTTGATTACAATCCTCTAAGGTGAGTCTTGTTTCCATAAAATCAGCAACTAATTCAATTTTTGTATGCCTTCTTTTTGCCTACTTGATTATTAGGAGTCAAACAATAAAAGTCCTGTGATGTGCTATAATTTAGCTCATCAACATTTTTCTCACCTGCTGTTTAAAAAATAAAAATGGGAGAGGGGATTTTTCCACTCTCCCACTGGAGAGTATTCTGATCCCTAGAACTGGTTTCATAGCTCATTTGCCTGGGAAGTGGAAATGTACAACTGCTTCTTGAAGGCTCGATGTGTGATTTTGCCATTGAAATGCCAGGCTTTGAGCCTTTTCGAAAAGAAGATATTGGACCAGTCTTCTTGGCTGGAGCTGGTAATGTGACCAATTCTGCCTAAATATCTCTATGCAGGGAGGCCTGAGTCTCTTCCACTCTAGCAAAATATCATGAGAGCAGCCACTTTTTCATAATCATGTGCTTTGATAATTGGAATTTGAGAGGGCTTTTAATGGTTCTCCCCAAAGCTTTCCCATTGTGATTTGAAAGAGTACTCTCACTATAATTTATTCTTTTAAGGCACCAGTGCATATTAAAATGTGACAATATTTTTGAATGAAGTGTGTTCTTTTTGTTGGGATGGGAACCAAAATTGCTTCTTATCCATAATTCAACTTGTAATTGTCCATGTAATACTAATGACAACAACAATCACATTCTGGGGTTATGCTTTAGCTGCCAACTTCTTATCATCACAACTAATTATTCTTTTTCATTTTGTAGGATAATGGGATGTCAGTTGTTAGCCCCATATCACAGATGGTAGAAAATGAGGGTTGGAAAGTTGAATGACTTTCCTTGATTATATAAATGTTGGCTTTGTAGGGAGTACTTAGAGATGACCTAGCCCACTGTTGTCATTTTACAGAGGAGAGGGAAGTGACTTGCCTAAGGTCACATGGCCAGTATGTGGCAGAGTTGGGTCTTTAACCCAGATCTTTTGACTCTCAAGTCAGCAGGACTTTTCCATTATACCACAGATTTCCTCCAAACAGTAGGTAATAGGATATCTCATAGAGCTGTGAGGTACCTTAAAGGCCATCTGAGCCAATCCCCTTAGATTATGGATGAGGAAATTGAGACCCAGGGTGGTTAAGCAACTTCTTCAAGGTCTCGAGGTAGTAAATGTTAAAGGTGGGATTTGAACCCAGATCCTCTGATTTCACAATCAGTGCTTTCCCCACAGCAGCACATCTATTTGATTGACCTCCTGATTTGTTTTTGTTTTTACTTTGCAGTTTCAGAAGACATTTGAGTCCCTCAAAAATGCATCCAACAAATCTGATCTGCAGAAGACCTACCAGAAACTTGGCACGGAGCTAGAAAATCTGGATTATTTGGCCCACAAACGCCAGCAGGTAAAAAGAAAAAGCCATGAACAATGGGAAAGTTGAATATTTTGTGTCTCCTTGAACGTCTTAATTCGCCTTTGTACTTGTCAGTTTCCTTGGAGGAGAACATGGCAGTGATGGTTCACAGGGACTTGGTCCAAAAATACATGAAAAAATGGAGGAGTATCATACTGACATGGTGTAATAATTCAGCCTCATTCTCATGCTCTCTCTGGGTTTATTTATCCCTTATCCCTCATTCTGATCTCCCTGCCAATCGATGATGGTCTAGTTACCCACGAGGCTGCTCCACTTAAGACAAGAAGGGAGTTTTGGCTGTTATTGGCAAGATTGAAGTTATTTTTGGGATTTATTAAAGGTCAGCTTGAGGAGAAAAAAAAACATAGGGAGATTTCATATATGGGTATACAAAATAAGGAAAGAAAATCATGTTGAAAAAGGTCCCTATGTGAGTTGACAATTAGTATGTTTGATTTACCTTTGAAATCTAGCTAAATGGGAACGTTTAAATAGAACATCCGATATCTAAGAGGTATAACATGCCTTCTGAGTACTTGAAGCAGCCATGAAATGCCTTCTCTGAAGCCTTTGTTCTTCCTTCTCTATGCCCCAAATTAAAATGAAAAAAGAAAACTTGCTTTTCTAGGCTTTGTTTAGAGCCAGAATTTGGTGGTCATGTTCTGTTGACATTCTCATGCTTCATGTTCACATCCATAATGGTGGTGAACCCTGAAATTCTGCCCTGTGTCAGGATTCACTGTCTTGATGCCACTGAGATTTTTTTCTGCTTGAGTTTTTTCAGTTTTAGATTACCACTAGGTGTCAGGGTTGGCCAACACTTCAGTTTCTATGGCCTCCTCTCAGCCCAGGCTGTTTGCTGTTTAAATTAGGAAATGTATTAGACTGCATGAAATTTGGGAATGTGTGCAGTGATGGATGGCATCTAGAAACATGACTAATTAGCTTGCCTGCATGGCTGGGTGCTGAGTTCATTACTAAGGAGAGCTTACTTTAGCATAGGGATAAATGTTACTGTCTTGACTGGCATGGCCTAAGTCCAAGTTTTGGTCCCATTGGATGGGGCCTTTCATAACAAGGATTCCTATTCTTGGTAATTGGTCATTATTGTTCATTCTAGGACAATATCCTTTGGAAGAGGACTGTTTTTGCCTTTTATTTGTATCCCCAGCGTGAAACCTAGAGCCTGGCACATTGTAAACACCTAATAAGTGCTTGTTGATTGATTGATGAAGAGCTGGGAGAATTGTATGCTTATTGTAGTCATAGCTTTACTTCTCAGAAAAGGTTAATATCAGAGCAGCTCACATTTAGATAGGGCATAGAAGATAGAGGGCTAGCCTTGGATTCTGGAGAACCTGGGTTGAAATCTTGTTTTTAACTCATATGGGCTATGTGTTCCTGGGCAAATCACTGAACCTCTCAGTGCCCTAGGCAACTCTTCAAAACTCTAAGTTAAAGGAGAGTTGCTTATCTGCATCTGTGGAGTGAGTTTTCATATTGGGAATTCCTAATATTGATGAAATTACAGTTTTGGACCAAAAATAATCACTTATTGCTTTATTGTGAGAACTCCATCCGGCAGGTCCCTACTTGGTATCAAAGATAATAGTTAGAGCTGAAAGGGAACTTAGCTATTTTGTCCAACCCCTTCATTTTACAGATGAGGAAACTGAAGTGCAGAGATGTCAAATGACTTGGGGGGGGGGTGACACAGGCAGTAACAGGTTGGATTTGAATTCAGGTTCTCTGACTCCATATCCAATATCTTCCCATTATACATAGCTACCATGTAGGTATGCAGGTCTTAGAGAATTGCCTGAGCTTTGGAGAGGTTGAAATGTTGCCCGTGGTTATTGTTTTTAATTTATTTGAAACTTTCTCTCCTCTTCTTTGTCTACCCCAAACTGTCCTTTCATTATGTCTCAGTGATTTTTGGGATATTTTTCCACTTTTCTCTTCAATAACTACTTTTTTGGGGGGATTATTTTTTAGGAATGTTTCCACCTCTTCAGTGATTCCCAGGCTGTCCCTTGGGTAGGGGAACAAACCCTTGTCTCTCTATTCCTCCAAAGACTGATCTTAATAGTAGCCTTTCTAGGTAATGGGGGTGGAGATAGTGACTGATTAGGTGGTGATTTGGAGAGAATGAGTCACGTTGAAAGGAGTGGATGAGACCACATGATTCACAATGAAATCTGGAGACTTTCTGGGATCACTAGGACTATACTGGCTAGCTTCTTTTAGAGCTGAGCTATTGGGATACCTGAGTACTCTTGTACTGGTGAAAATCTTGGAACTAGCCCAACTGTATCATTGGTGCAATATTTTTGAGCTCTAACTCAGAAGTATAAAGGAAGATGAGAAGAATGGTGAGGGGGACTCAGAAATGATGCCAAAGATTCATTAAAGTAACTGCAGCTGTTTCATTAGAAGACCTTGTCAGTGGTATAATAGGTGCTTAATAAATTCTTGTTGACTGACTGACTGAGGTTGGTAGTATTGAATCTTTGTTTCAAAGGTTGTCAGCAGGAAGAGAATTAAGCATAAGTCATAGGACCTAGAACTGGAAGGGACTTAAAGGATCATCTAATCCAATTCCCCCACTTTACAGATGGGGAAACTGAGGTCCATTGGTGGTGAAATGACTCACTCCATATCACTTAGTAAGTTACTGGGATTTGAAAGCATGCTTTCTACCACTAAGTTGAATGTTCTTCTCCCTGTGCCACACTGCTCTTTGGCTCCATGGACAGAAGATGAAACCATTTATGGAAGCTACAAAGAGTTAGATTTTTGACTCAATATGAATAAGAATTTTCTTACGATGAAAATTGTCCAAAAGTGTAATGGGCTACCTCAAGAAGCCATGAAATCATCTATTCAGACCTGGAAAGGATATTAAATTCAGTAAGTCAGTAAGTTAATCAATAAACATTTAGTAAGCACTCTACTACATGCCAGGCACTGTGCCAAGCACTGAGGATTGAAAGAAAAGCAAAGGACTCCCTGCTCTCAAGGAGCTCCCAGTCTAATTGAGGAAATAGTGTACAAATCATGTACAAACTATGGACAGGATAAATAGAAAATAATGAACAGAGGGAAGACACTAGAATTAAAGAGGAATCAGGAAAGATTTTCAGTGGAAAGTGGGACTTTAGCTGGTGCTGAAGAAGGCCAGGGAAGCCAGGAGGTGGAGATGAAGGTGGTGGTGTCATCTAATCAACCTCCTTATTTTATGGATGAGGAAACTGAGGTTTTGAAAGGTTTTCATTTACTTGTGATCAGAAAGGTAGCAAGTACTAAGGAAGGTTTGGAACCAAGATCACCCTTACTTCATGTTCAGCACTATTTGGTATGTGAGAATGCCTTTCTAGTGGTTGATTCTCCACTACCAGTGGTCTTCAAGTGGAATCTGGGCGACCTTTTGTCAGGCTATTGTAGAGAGGATTTCTATTTAGATAGATGACCCTTTAGGTATTGTCCAACTCTGACAATCTATAATTTTAAGCAATAATTTCTGTTTTTTAAGCACCAATTTCTGAGATTCTCTCTGATTTTTGGGAAAAGGAATAAGCATTCAACCTAACAATATAGAGTGTTAACTCTCATTTTTCCTTCTACCACCAAGGTTTTGAACTCTTATAAAACTCATTCATTCTTCAGGGTTTTCTGGCTCCATGTGGTTAGGAATCATAGCTTATATTTGTAAACTTTGCTCTCCTGGGAGAACTCACTGTGTTGACATGGTATGTACACACTATTGTATAATGGCTACTCATTTACATACACACCTGAATGCCAGAGTTCTCCTACTTATCATTAATGCTGCATTTTAGATTGGCTGATCTCACTGGCCTCCAATTAGGGTATACCATATCTGACTCTTTAGGTTTTCTCACACCAACCCCTTTCCCGAGATCTTCTTCTTTCTTGTCACACATCCAAATTCTAGAATTATTAGCTTTAGAGATGAAAGAGACCTTAGAAAACTTTGGAGTCCAACCTCAACATTTTTACTGACAAGAAAACTGAAGGCCAGAGATTGAAAGTGATTTTGGAGTAAGTTGTAGAGTTAGAATTCAAATCTAGATCTTTTTGCCTCTGAATCCAGTGTCTTTTGCTTTGATTCATGATGCCTTTTATCTAATCATCGTCTTATATGTCAATCCAATTCCACCCCTCTTTTTAGGCCCACTCAATTCTCATCTCCTTCATGGAGAGCTACCCAACTCTGCCACCAGCTTCCAACACAGCCTGTGTTGGCACTTAATGGGTGTTTGTTGAATAACTGAAAGACTGACTCATTTCCTAGCCAGCTCTTTCTTAATCTTGTACATAGGCTAAAGTTTGTTCTACAATCTAGCATTTGATTTTATTTTAGTACAACTGAAAGCTACTCATTTTAAGTTATATGTAATTGCAAATTACAGTGCAAAATTTATGGAGGTTGAATGATCACTTGTCTGAGATGTTGCTGAGGTGAATTCTGCTCAGGTATGGTTGGTACTTGATGACCTGACTCTGACGTTCTTTGATTCTGTAGTTGAAAAATTTCTCTCTTCAGATAAAAGATAGAATAAAAAATTTAGCACATCGCTTGGCACATAGTAAACACCAAATCATTGAATACCAGGCATACCAGTCTATGATTCTATCTATACATATCTATCTCTCATCTATCTCTATTTATTTATCAGTTAGCTATATATCTTGATCATCATCTATCTAGATTTTAGGGATACAAAGGACTTCAGAGGCCATCTAATTTAATTTCAGCTCTCTGATAATAGATTTTGAGTTGGAAGGGTCCTTAGAGGTCACTAAGTCCAACCCTATCATTTCACAGATGAGGAAACTGAGGCTGAGAGACATTTACTGACTTACCCAGGATCATACAGGCCCTAAGCAATAGAGCTGGGATATAAAGCTGTGTTCTTTGGCTTCAGATGCAGTACTCTTAGAACTATCCCAAAATGTTCCAAGAA